TGATCCATGACCATGATCTCCAGGTCGAGCTAATTCTAATATAGCACGTACTGATTGTTTAGTTAATGTTGTTATCATTACTATTCGTTTAAGAGATGGAATTTTTCTAAGAGCTGTCATTACCTCAATTGCTGTAAAATATATGTATATATATGAATATATGAATATGTATATATTTAAATATTATTCTAAAAATTATTATTAAATTATTAATTATTCATAATATTAATTTTAAATTATTATTTGTGAAATCAGAAGAAATATGATAAAATTATTCAATATGAATTTCAAAATTTTAAACATTATATTTTATATAAAAATTATTTGTTTATATTTGATATGTTTACATACCTCGACCAATATTAGTATTTGCATTAATTATCGCACATGTTTTACGATTTTTAACCGCTGCAATAATTTGATTTGTTACTTCAGAAGGAGATCCCATAATGAATGAAGCATTTTTTATGTTATTTAATTCACATGTCATTTCAGCTTCTTCTACCTCTGATGGAGAATCCACTCCTATAACTTGTTGACATTTCTAAAATTAAAGATCATAAAATTTAGAATAAAAATATGATAATTGATAATAAAAACATTCTTTTTATTTACAGATGCCATCATCAATCCAATAAGACCAATACCACATCCTATTTCAAGTACTGTTGTTTTTGGACTAGGTGCAAGTAAATCTATTACTGCATTTGCCACATTTTCTGCTCCTGCAGAATTTGACCAAAAGTTTGTTTTAGGTGCAAGTTGGACTTTTAATCCTCCAACAATTTCATCCAAAGCTTCTGATCCTACTAGAAATGTTGTATCCGTAACAGCAGTACCATCATATCTAATATTAAAAAAAAAATAAATTAATAATATATATTATTTATTTTTTAATATGAATGAATATTACATAATTTAATAGCTATATAAAATTTTGCAATTTTTAAAAAATATTACTATGATTTTATATATTAAATACATGATTTATACATAATTTTATAAATTATTTTTACCTATTTGTAGACTTGCAATATAGAGATTTAACATTGCAATCTTTTCCAGGTCCAGATTCATAAACTTGTTTCAGTCTATCCATTGTAGAACGAGTAATATTTTCTCCAGTTGCAAATAACATAAGTTCATCCATACTATTGCAACGTACTACCAACCATAACCAATCTTGTTTCCCTTCATTATTTGTGTCTTTTTTTGATTCTGCATCTATAGATACATCGTCAGAAAAATTTTCATCTATAGAATTTTGTGAGGTTAATTGTTCTGTTGTTTGAAGAAAATCTTCAAATATCTATGTAAAGAAATACAATTTGATTATAATATAATATTTATATCATATATCAAATATATCAAATATAATAATTTACATTAAACAAATAATTTATATCAAATACAATAATTATACATAATTCATCATTAATATCATTATTATATCATTATTCATCAAACTTGAAAATATAAACAACATTTATAATACATATTTATTTAAAATAAAAGAAATCTAAATCTATAAAATAATATTAAACATACTTTTACAGCACGCAATACAAAAGGTGGAAATTGAGATTCATTATTTATATTTACACCCCATGCTCCACTGGCTTCCAATTTCCAAATTATTTTTTTATCTTTATTAAAAGAACTATCAGAATTTTCTATTTTTGTAATAGATTCATGTATTTCTTTTCTGTTGCCTAAACATAAATTTCATCATTTTGCTTTTCTTCAATTACTAAAATAAGTGTAATATATATAAAATATAAACAAAATATAATACAATAAATACTTACAAATAAATTTCCAACGATTAGTATAAGGCTTATCTAAACAACAGCGCCGAGAAGGTTTTAATTTACACAAAGGAGATCCATTTATCTTTTCTTCATATTCTAACCATTTTTCATAACATGGGTAAGAAATTCCTAAAACTCTAGCTACTTTTGAAAGTCGTTCTTTTATAATTGTTTCTTTCTCAATAAGCTATAATAAATTGATAAATTAAAACAATAATGATAAAAAATATATTACATATATCAATAATTTATTTATTTAATCATATATTACCTTCTGTTCATACCAGTCATTTTCTGTACATTCTTCTTCTTTTATTTCTTGCTTTATTTCTTTATCTAAAATGTATAATGTTTTTTTATCAACATTATTATTTTCATTTGTATTATTGTCTTTAATAAGTTTATTTTCTGAATTAGAAGATTGATTTTTCATATCTGCTTCTAGTAATTGATTTCCTGTACATTCTTCTGGTAATTGGAAATCTGTAGAATCTAATACAATATTTTCAATTTCATCTAAATGATGTAAGACATCTTCATCTGTTACATCTTTTTGTTGATCTAATTGATCTAAAGTAATATCAGCAGTAAAATCAATTGATTCCATAGTTGATTGTTGCAGACATTTATTTTCTGTGTTTGATGTATTGTTTTGATCATTATTATTAGAATTATTCGATAGTATATTATCTGTTAAATTTATGGAACTTTCTGAAACTTCTTGATTTTTTTCCATATCTATATTTTTGTTTTTTTCTATATTTATGCCTTCAATTTTTCCAATATCTTCATTTCTCTCTAAATTTTCCTTTTTTTTTATTTTTATATTTTTTTTTTCCTTCATATTTGTATTTTCAATATGATCTACATTTTTATTTATTACATTATTATCTAAGGATTTAATACTTATAAATTGTTTTTCTATATTGTTCAAACATTTAGATTGTTGTATATTATTAGATGTATCTTCTTCTTCGATACATTCATCTACTACTTCATAATTTTCTCCTTCAATTGTAACTGCTCCTGAATTTTCTGTAATATATGTTTATTCTTAATTATAATAATTTATTATAACTTATGCATAAAAAGATACAATTATAATTATCTATTATCTTTAAATTTGATTAATCTTTTTCTAATATATATTTGATTTTTAATAATATATTGTAAGATTTTAAAAATATCCATGACAAAATATGAAAATGTTAAAACAAAATATTGTATTATAAAAAATAAAAACTTACCCATTCTTTTACCGATATTTAAATGTGAATGTTCAGTCTTAAAATCCGTAAGACAAATGACACTTGGATCAAAATGTTATTATATTTAATATTAATAACTGATTTTATGAAACAAATAATGTACATATAGAATCAATAATAGAATTAAATAAATCTTTTATTAAATACTTCACTGTTATTATAACTATAATTCTTACAGCTTATCATGAACATTTTATCCACTACAATACATTTTACTTACATTTTTCATTACCAACATCGTAATATTTACAAAAATAAATTTTTTACCCTGTACAAAAGTATATACATATATATATTACTATATATCTCAATAATCTAGTGCTTTATTTTTTCAAATATTCTTATTTAAAGTATATTCCGTTGTAAGAGTTTTACATAATCTCTTCTTTATTTCATTGTATTATTCTATACCAATAAAATTTGATCGCGCGATAGGGAATGATGAATATGGCGTTCCAAAAACAATCTACTAGTGTAGAATTAAAAATTCTAGTTTTAAATTCATATTAAAGATTATATATAAATATTATTTATAATAATTATTTTTTACATCACAATATATTTTTATTTTCAACTCTTTTTTATATTATTATATATATATTATTAATAAAATATAAAGATATAT